TTTTTCTTTTATTTTTATTGTTGTTGGTTTATGTATTATATTATCTGTCGGATTTGGTGTGTGTGTTCGCGTGCGTGTGCGTGTGCGTGTGCTTGTGCTTGTGTGTGCGGTTTCTGTTACGCTCCACGCTGCGTATAAGCAATTTCTCGCTAACTGTGTCCTGTTTACAATAATAACGCTCGCCGTCTCCTGCTAACGCTTTCACTTTCATTTAGCCAACTCGGCTCGCTTATTTACTAGTTGCTGGCTGACTGCGTTTTACACTGAATTCGGCATGCTGCCGCTGGGGAGCAATGTACGCTGATTTGCTTGCTGTTGCTGCTGTTGTTGTTGCTGTTGCTGTTGCTCTAGCTGTTGCTGTTGCCGTTGTTGCCATTGCCAGGAACCAGTGCCCTACAGCTAGCAGCAGCAGTCAGCCAGAATATAACTGTCGTATTATTATGAGCAACAACAGCAACAAAACGAAATAAAAAAACAAACAAACAAACAAAAAAAAAAAAAAAACACAACACAACACAAGAAAAAAACACACTACAACTCCTATGCCAGCGTATATGTGCGTGCGTGTGTGCGTATGTTGGTCTACGTGTGTGTGTGTGCGTGTCTGTGCGTGCGTGCTTATGTCGGTGTGTGCCTCGTTTTAAGCTATTATAATATTGGCATTTAGCTAAAAGCGTTACGACCGCACGCGACCAGCTCAAAAGTAAAACTGAAAGCTGGCATTCGTTGCGTTCCACAAATCCACGAAGCTGTTGCTATTGGGGTTGCCATTGCCATTGCCGCTGTCGCCGTTGCTGCTGCTGCTGCTGCTGCTGCTGCTGCTGCTGCCGACGTCGCCGTCGCTGTCGCTGTTAGTGTTACTGCGGTGGCAGTCAGCCAGTGGCCGCAGTCACAGAGCTCAGCTGCGCCGTCAGCCCTTCTGGCTGTCTGCCTTTCCCTTTTAGCCAAGCATCAAAAGCTTTTTTAACTGCCCTTTAACACTTGTTGTCCCGCTTGCACGTCTGCCGTAATTTTATGTATCTGTATGTACACGCACATACAGACACACATTTATATACATATGTACAGTGCTGACGTCGAACGGCGTTCGCCACAAGCAACAGGACAAACGACCCGGCTCTGACCCCAGCCCCAGCCCCAGTTCTAGTTCGCTGTTTGCCCCAAATTCGGCATCTGTTATTACTGTTGCTTCGTTGCTTTGCTGGCTTGCGCGTTGGCGAGTTTGCGCGCTGCGCTTACTGCAGCCCGCTCCGCACTTGCTACCGCTCCACCTCCTGCTCCTGCTCTAGCTCCTGCTCCAGCTGCTGCTGCTGCTGCTGCTGGTGCTGCTCCTCCTGTTGCGCTGTGGCGTCACTGGGCCCAGCTTACCTAACCTGCACACTCCGAATTCCTGTGTGCCAACCATCAAATCTGTTGGCTCTGCCTATAGCCACCTGCCTACACCTACACCTGTGCGCCCAGCATCGGCATTCGCTCCAATTGCAAAGCCAAAGCCAACCACAGCTTCGCTCATGAAGCTCTGCTTCAAGTCGACGTCACTAGCTCTGGATGTTTTTAAGCAAATTTAATCCATTTTTTTTTTTATCACTAAATACAATCAAAGTAAAGCAAAATACAAAATATTTATTTATAAAAATATATATTAAATAAGTAAAGTGTATAAAACAAAAAATATAATCTATGCCATGTTATCCTCAGAATTTAATAATAATTTTTCTACTCATATTAAATTTTGTAAATTTATCATTATCTATTAAATTCAAGTAAGTAAATAACTAAGTAGTTAGTTAAGGCAAATCAAGATTGGAAATCACAATTTTGAAAACAAAAAACCCAAAATCCTTAACTATGAAATAATATAAATATCTCAGTTGCCGTTAAAAATATTCAAGAAAAGTAAGCACAAGAAAATAAGAAACAAATTCAAAGTAATGTTAGTATATACTCTAAATTACATACGGTTACGGTTCTAGCGACCAAGGATTTTACGTCTTAATACCCGAAAGAAGCCATAACCAAAAGCCGTCCATTTATATATGTATCTAAGTTAGTCGGCATAACCGGATTCTACTGTACTACATAGCCCACATATCCATCGTCAATCATTTTTATGAAACATAACTCAAAAACTTATCAAGCTGCATATTATATTAGTATTGTGTGTCCTGTTTCGCAGGGGACAATTCACGTTCCAATTGATGTCTACTTCGCCTCAATATTTACGAGAGCCAAACCCTCGTTTCCAGCTGCAAGTGTTCCGGGCATTGGCATTCCGATATTTGTGTGCCCCATCAGTGAAATAAAAATCTGTGGTCAAAGCACTTACAACTCTTGAAAGGAAAACCGCAAAGCCACAGTCGTTGCAAAAAGTATGCAGCAAGCTATGCACACATTTTTCTACATGTGGGGACATTCTTACACCGCAAAAGCAAATACCAGATGCGTATGAAGGGTATATTGGTTCTGCTGAACTGTATGTAACATTGGCATATGGAGGCATGAGACATATAAATTGTAGACCCAATTGTTATAAATTTTCAATAATATCGATTAATTCAATTAAATAATTACTAAATATATAGAGTATATAGTATATATTATATCTTGACTTAAAAAACAAATATAAAATTTTGTAAAAAGTCTCTGACTTTGCATAAGGCTTGAAAGAACTTGCTACACCATTTTTATACCCTGAACCCATTTTCAATGGGAAATCAGGGTATAATGGTTTTGTTAAATGTATGTAACAGGCAGAAGGAGGCGTGGCAGACCCCATAAGGTATATATATTCTTGATCAGGGTGACGAGCTGAGTCGATATAGCCCTGTCCGTCTGTCCGTATGCTTGAACGCGTCCATCTCAGAAGATATAAGAGCTAGAAATTTTTTTTCCTAGGTGTCCTAACGTGCCCTGTTATTTTGTTATCGATTAAAAACATTATCGAAAACCAGTAATAAAAATTTATTTATCTCCTTCATCTTTAAAGGTAGAGTCTACAAAATTTATATGTATACTTATAAAAAATTTTTACAATTTCGGTTTTTAAAAAAAATATATAACCCTTAATTCACCCCCTCACCCTCACATTTATAAAAAGCGTATTTCAGATACTAGGGACTTGTGCTTTGGCAAATACATGTATATCTATGTTATAATTAAACAATTAAATTCCCATAGTAAGCCAACACTGCAGCCAATGCATGTTTATGCGTGCGTGCGTATGCCTGTGCTCGAAGGGTTCAGGGGATCTCGTAGTCGAGCAGTCTCGACTAGAGCTTTCTTACTTGTTTGAGGTTGAGTTTTAAAAAAATATATGGATATGAGGCAAACGTTAAAATTTCACCTAACCCTTAATATATACATCTTATATATATAAAAGAAAGTTGTGTAAAAGTGAAGACTGCTTATAACTTGATTTGGGCTGAACCAATTTTCATGGTTTTTGATTTGTTGGATTTGTCTCCGCAACGAGTTTAGTATAGGGTCTTAAAAATACTGAAAAAATTTGCCGAATACTTGAAAAACGCGGTTTTTTCCCCAAATGTTCAAATTTTTTTTATACCCAGTAGGCTTGGTAACAGTGACAGTTTTGACAATAGTGTAGAAGTAAATAAACAAATGTAGTCAGTCAGTCTACGGCACAGCCTCAGGCGAACCTGACTATTCATAAAAAAGCACATTTGTTAAAAAAAAAAATTTTGAAAAACAATACGCATACGGACAAAAGCAAAATATCTCGAAAGTTCAGGTAGGTATTGTTGAATTTGTTTTTCTCAGACATTATTTTTGTAAATAATTTATATTTGTATTTCTCGACATTATTTTTGTAAATAATTTTTATTTATATTTCTCGATTTCTCGATATTTTATGTGGTTTTGTGCGATTGTGCATATTCAGTATTACTATTAATGAAAATGCCGCGTCCTAGAAGATCTAATCTTTCCCAGCGGACCCATAATGCAATTAGGCTACGGAATACCGCGAGTCAATTATCTGACGAAGAACGAGAAAGGCGCCGCGTTAGTACCCAGCAAAGAAGGGCCTTAATTCGTGCTTCTCAAAGAGAGGCAGCCCGTGAAACGGCAATACGAAATGGTTCAAGGATTGATTTGAATCGAGCAGCGTTTCGATATGATTGTACCATTGACTACAGCTTGAATCGTTTAGTTTGCATTGGTCCAATGGACGTTGTTTGCCAGCATTGTGGCGCATTGAAGTTTGCTGGTGAAACGCCCGGTTTGTGCTGCCTTAGTGGTAAAGTGACATTGCCATTAGTGGTCTCGCCACCAGAGCCATTGCGTTCCCTGCTTTATGGCGAAACACTAGAATCACGACATTTTCTAGCGAACACTCAAAAATACAATGCCTGTTTCCAAATGACTTCATTTGGGGCGGAAATTATTGAAGAACACGGATATAATCCGACATTTAAGGTAATTTACGTTAAAAATTTTATTTTCTTATTTGGGATAATGTAGTTGGTTAGATTTCTGTAAAAAGTGTTTGTAAATCTAACTATAACTATGGCTTTGAATGTAAAGATTCAAGGCCAGATTTGCCATCGCATTGGATCATTGCAACCTATTGAAGATGAACAGCACAAATTCTTGCAAATATACTTCATGGGCAATATGGAAGAGCAACTTGATCGGCGCCAAGAAATCAACACTGCGATGAAAAGAGCAATTCTCCAAGATTTGCAGCAAATGCTTCATGAACATCATGCATTGGTCAAGTTGTTCAAGACCGCTTTAGAGCGCATGCCAAGAGATGACTATAAAATAGTAATCAGAGCAGATAAAAGACCAGCTGGAACACATGAACGCACATTTAATGCTCCAACAATCGATGAAGTGGCAATCCTGATTGTTGGTGAAAGCTTGGAAGCACGCGATATTGTGCTTACACGACGCAGTGCTGCGCAACTACAAAGAATATCTGAAACGCACCGTTCATATGACGCTTTACAATACCCGCTGATGTTTTGGCAAGGAGACGATGGATATCACTTTAATATCAAAATGATAAATCCATTGAATGGTAAGATCAATCATTGTTTTCATTTTAACTTTATATATACATTTTATTCTGTTTGCTTTTGGTACACAAAAAAAGTTATCACTCTTAATTTAGTAGAGAGTAGCTGTAAGAGTCGTAAACCTATTAGGGGCTCTAAAATACAATTTTTACTGCATTTGTTTCAGGTGAGGAAACTGGCAAGAAGGTTAGTTCTATGAATTATTACGCATATCGTTTGATGATTCGTGAAAATTCTGACAATTATTTATCCAACTGAATTTTTGAACTCCTTGGATGTGCCTGGTTTACCACCGCACAATTTACAACTGAAGGTTGGCTCGGTAGTTATCATGCTTAGAAATTTAAACCAACCAAAACTGTGCAATGGAACGCGTTTAGTAATAAGAAAACTGTTGAGCAATGTTATTCACGCGTCGATACTCAAAGGAAAATTTAAAGATGAGGAAGTTCTTATTCCAAGGATTCCGATGATCCCAACAGATATGCCCTTTGAGTTTAAACGAATTCAATTCCCGATTCGTCTTGCCTTCGCCATGACGATCAACAAATCACAGGGCCAATCTTTGACTATTTGTGGCCTCAATCTAGAAAATGCGTGTTTTTCTCATGGTCAATTGTACGTGGCATGCTCACGTGTTGGCAAACCATCCGCATTATTTGTTCTTGCACCTGACCAAAAAACGAAGAATGTCGTTTACCACAAGGTGCTTGAATGAAAATCTGATTAATAAATTAATTAGAGTGTATCCCAACCTGAACAACATACCTTTTAATCATTTTTTACCTAGAAATAAGGGTAGGGCAATGCAACGCTTGCTGGGACTGCTAGTATTTTTATATATTATACAAATTGAATTAAAGACTCGAAGAGTTTTTACGTTGTAGGATTCAAGTAATGCCGAATATAAATATTTTTTTTTGATATTCCAGAACCAACTGAAGTTTTGAATGAATGGCGTTTCAAAAAATAATAAATAAATAAATAAATAAATAATAATTAATTGGGTAATTAGGTAGAAAAATACCTATAGTAAAAAAAAATAAAGTTAATTTTTTGACCTAATCTGCATTTGATACTTACCCACAAATTAATTTATTTAAATATATTAAATACCAGTTTTAAATGAATAAATTTTGTTGTTTTTGGTGTTGTAATCAATTTAGCATTTTTCACATTTATTTGTATCATTTTTATTTGTTATTCTTTTTTTTCGTTCTTTAATATGTGTATGTATATATATATATATAGATGTACTAGTGTTTGTGATAATGCATATCCTTAGAATTCACTTTCACATTCACTTTCAGCTATGTATAATGGCGTTTGCTAAATCGTTCATTCAATGCTTGTGGTATACATATATATATATATATATATATATATATATATATATATATATATATATATATATATGTATATATATGTATGTATATATATTGAGTATATATGCCTGGCTATATAACATCCATGTATACATATATACTGACTTATATGCATGTATATATATATTATGTTTTATATGCTTATGTGTGTGTGTGTTAATGCTCTATATATGTATATGTATGTATGTATATATGCATACATATCTACTTCAGGTAATATTCAAATAATAATGCTTCTTTTCTTCTCGTTTGCTCGAAATTTTCTTAGCATTCGTCGAATATGTGTATCAAAAGTTTTTTTTTTTTTTTGTTTTTGTTTATCAAATCTTTGAAACATTTGCACCTTTTGTTCTAGGCTCTACTTAAACTCTCACCCGAATGCGAACTTCATATTTTAATATATGTATATGTATATATGTATGTATGTTTATCATATTTGTATCAATTTATGTATCATTTCGTTAGCGCTTACAAAAATATCAATATTTATAGAAGCAACAAGAAATCACATTAATTTTTTATTTTTTTTATTTTTTAGTGTTTTTCTGGGGTGTTATTTTTTTCTATACACAAAAAGCGTGCGTTTCGCAGTTACTGATTTTCTTTTCTTTTTTAGGCTATATATTTATAAATATATAAGTATGTATGGCTGTTGTAGTGTATATATGTATACGAGTGTGGGTGTGTGTGTGTGTGTTTGTATACATAGTAAATGTAATTGCATCTGTATGCGCGCATTACATGTGTGTAAACAACAAACCTTTTAGCCCAATGGAGGAAGTTTTCTGGTGCGCCCGCACAGCAAGAAATGAAAATGAAATCAGTTTGAGTCAAACCAAATAGCTCTAGTCGTGTACGGCACCGACTAGCGAATACCCTGTACCGACAAAAAAAAAAAAATAATAAAATAAAAACATGTCTCAGTTGCGAATTTCCTGATTTCCTTAATTCGTTTCTGATAATACAACGGAATTTTTTGACTATATTGAGCTTTTGGTATATGTAATGGTATTTTATTTAGTATTTTCCGTAAACGGACATCCATTAGTGCCTGAGAATCTTTTCGTTTGAGTTCTTTTTTGATTATGAAACAAAACCTTGCTCAGCTGGATTATATTGATATATATATACATATACATATACATATATGTATATATCTATAATTCATGCAGTTACATATGTATATCTACTGTAACTAGCAAAACCAAATTGCTCTAACACTTCATAATACACTACAATAGTTGTTCGTTCAATCTAAGCCGTATCGCATTCTATATAATATCAAGTTTTGGTCTATAAATCGTCTATATATATATGTATGTATGTATATATTGGTGCCTGCATACCCAGTTGACTAACATACCCGCTGCCAATGACTGAAGTAAGCACCATAACTAAACAATTGCCTTGCCCAGCAAACAATTGAAACACTTAATGCCTGAGTGTGGGTGTGCATGCATATGCATGTCTGTGTATATGTGTGTGTACGTGTGTTTATCTATGACAAACTTTAACATGGCGTTAACAATAATAGAAGCAGTAGCTGCTTCGTCTAAAAACCCGCTCAACCAACCACAAAAAAAAAAAAACACTCTACACCACTACAGCAAGTGTTCATGTGTGTGTGTGTGTATGTAAGTGTACATATTGATATATATATATATAGATGTATATATGTTTGTATATATATGAAACAATATTCTCTTCTCTGAATATATAAAACGTATAAATATGCAACTGTCTCTCTAAATAGTTATGTTTATATATACATTTATCTATATATATATATATATGTATATATTTGCATGTGTGTCTGTATACAGTATATGCATGCCATATATATGTATATATATATATATATGTATATATCTATATATGTATAATAATGCGTGTATATATATTTATGTATATTGTATATGTATAAATATTTAATATTTGTTTCTCAACATTTTCATTGTTTATATTATATTTTAACTTTTTTTTTTTTTTTTTTTTTTGTTCAGGTCACTACTTTTCTTTGCGGCTTAGTTTCGTTATGTTTTGTCTTTGACTTAATCAATGAATTTTATAATATTTTTGTTATGCATATATGTATATATATATATTTTTTTAATTTTAAAAACGATTCCCAGCCAGTAAATTGCAGAAATGTCCATGATCCATGGGCCATACTCGTTCAATGCGCAACAATGGCCGATCGATAAGCGATAAATCAGAATCGATAGCCGATCAGCGTTCAAGGAAACACGATAACCGATAATTAACTAACAACTGCCCCAAGAGCGTTCGGTGTCCTAACGGTGCATTCTATACAGCTACTGTGACAGTAAGCGCTACCGTTTCAGTTTACAGCTACAATTACAGTTAGAGTTACTTAAGACTCTAGACACACATAATCATGCAACTATATATGTATGTATGTATATATGTATGTAGTTTCCTTGCCAGCGCCTCCTCTCTAGTTTCTCTGTGTGCTCTCTAACGTTTGTATATTCCTTCTTCTCCTGCATTCGACCTACAATAGTATGCGATACTTTAGTGCTCTCTATACCATATGTATATATATATATAACGTTTGTATGTTTGTAACTCTCCAATACTGTTCAAGGAAGTACGGATACTATCTGTATTGCGTGTGACTGGTAACCGAGATCTAAACTAAACTTGCTTGAGCCTACAATGTGCTAGTTTCCAACTGCTGTGGATCACGCTCTCCTATACTCACACACTGACACACTGACACACACAGACACACATCTACACTCACACGCACACACACACTCACGCATACGGACAGGCATGCACACACTTATTATACACACAGTTGCCACAAATCCAATTTGAATTCCACTGTCTGTTCCAGTTCCCGTTCCCGTTCCAGTTCCAGTTCCAGTTCCAAATCGTGTAACTTATTTGTTCTCAATTATTGTCTGCAATTGCAGGACGAGACTGCGCGACAGCTGCAGAATCGACTGGGCATTGTGACGCTCGGCCATTTCTAGAATTTACCAAAAGCAAATACCAAAAATATTTATCAATAAATAAACATAAATTATTTAAATAATTCGAGCCCACCATTGAAGAACTTGATGACATCCGTAAAGTCCATGCTGTTGGATAGAATGATGTCGCGATAGGTCTCGAGCAGCGCCAGCGCCAGGAAGAGCACAAAGTGCCCGGAGGCAATGTGCTTGGCCGCCCAGATGACCTCCCAGGTGGCGAAGACATCGTCGTAGATGAGCTCGCGCTTGAAGTCCAAGAGGAACCAGCGGTAGCAGAAATAGAAGTGCGTATAGTCCCCGTTCGAGTCCATTAGGTCGTACATCTCCGAGTCCAGTATCTGAATGAGTGAGCTGAGAGAGAGGGAGAGAGACAGACAGAGCGTTAGAAAGAGAGAGCTAGTGCATGGATATAGATGGGGATAGATACCGCATGTTGGCAAAGTGCATGTCCATGGCACCGCCGCTGGGAAAGTTCTCGATCATGCGCTCCATCAGCTTGCAGAAGCAGCTGTAGCTGAGCGACTCGTCATCGAAGATGACCAGCAATGGAGCGACCAGATCGCACATGCCCTGCATGTAGCCCACATCCAGATGCTCCCACACATACGTCGATATCACATTGCGCAGCTTGTCCAGATTCTCGCTGGCAAAGTACCAATAGTTGCGATCGCAGCGCTGCACATCCTTCTCGATCCGATGCAGATTCAAGCCAAACTGCTCCAGCAGCTCGACGCTATAGACGCCGCCATTGGAGCTGGCCGGTGAGACGCAGGCAGACTTTGGCTCCTGCAGCGCATCCAGCGAGGCGACGACTGTGATGTCCTCGTTCAGGGGCGACATG